CTGCTAGCAGATTTCCATCTTCGCTCGTCACTACGTACTTCTTTGCAGCAGCTGCATGGCACTCTTCGTGAAAGCACTGTCGATCATGATGACTGATTATTGGGCGAATTTTTCATTTTTACCCAAAAATCAACCCGAAAGTTTAAAACTCACCAAAATCGTGGTGCATTCAGCCATCTTTCACATGCGTTCGCCGTTATTGCTGGCATGGGCAGGTCACTATGGGCTAGTAGTTAAGCAAACAACTAAATACGCATGTAAGTAGTTACATATCGGACATATTTGCATTTCATATGTTGATTATACCCACATGCGAACATACATACAGACATATCTACATATACAAAACATTTGCGCCTACGAGGATAGATTGTACAGTATGGCTTCTGAGAAACAGCAAAAATTATTGTCACTTGACAACATACTTTTTTCTAACCCTTTTATTTTCGTTTTATTTCACTGAATTTTGAGGTACTTATTAGGTTAAAATATTAACATATTAATAGTATTGGCTTAGACCTAAAGACTTTGTATATATTTACTTACCTATGTATGTGTGTACAAACTTGCATGGTAATTTTAAATAATAAATTCCAATAACAATATTAAATAAAAAAAATATTTGTAAATTAAAGCTATCCCAACGACCATTTTTTGATACCCAAACTTTGAAAATTTTAAATAGTAAATCGACACCTGAGTTTTTCAATCAAATTCCGAAATAGGGCGTTTTTTGAAAAGCTTTCTGAAAAAGGGGAATTTTCGAATTGGCTGCCGAGATAGGTCGATATTCCACTCAGTTGTCAATATGGACTCCATGCAAAGCTTGGTCAAGCTGGTACTGATCCTCTAATCATTTTAAATGATTAATGATGTCGAATCAAAGAAGTTGCATAATTCAAAACTCACAAGTGTACTAAAACTCGTATTTTTTTACTTTTTTGTGTGCCAGACTTATCGGACGGTTCCGCATGCATTCATATGTACATATACATACGTACGTATATATGCGGGTAGATGTACTCTCCGACTTGAATGTGTGTTGATTGTTGGATATGCAAATATGTTTGCTCGCCTCTTCGCTGGAGTACAACAAATGGTCCATTGTTTGTTGGATGGGCGCGTGTATGCGATTACTTTTGTCTGTTTGTGTATTTATGTTTGTGCGCACAACACGCTTAAGGGAGCACTTGGGGCTACTTGTTGGCCTCAAAGCCACTATGAGGCAGGTTCTCATGGCACTTTTCACATAACGCTTCATGCGGCCGCTTACAGTAGCTAGCAGTCGAGAAAAAAAAAAACCGTACAAACACTAACAACTCATTTTGGTACTTGAGCCTTCGCAGCATGGGACTGAACATTTTACCGCGAGGCAACGATTTTCTTTCGACTGTGCATGCAATGGTTACTTAGTATCTACGAGCAAAAACAAAAATTTAAAACAACCAACGAGATTAGTAAGGCCAACTGTAAGTGGCAAATCAGCCCAGTTATGAATTTGGAAAATTGTTTTAATGGAAAAGTTGGTGGCAAGGTCGTATGAAAAAGAGTTCGAAACTATAACTTTTTTCAAAACGATAAGTTAAAAGACTAAATCAATTAAAGATTTTCAAAAATCGATTTTACGTGCAGGATTATTTTAAACCCTAAATTATTTCTAAATTCGCAGTATTTCCGAAGTAATTTGAATAAGAAGATTGATACAGATTAAAAATTAATATTATCAAGAATTTGTATAACGCTTGTTACTATATAACTACATACCACACTCTAAGAAATCGTATCGACGATTGAAAAAGGATTGTCCTTAAAGAAATACACGCTCGGAGTTTTTCTCGATATCGAGGGTGCTTTCAACAATGTCTACCCGAAGTCTGTTGATTTTGATGGGCTCCTTCTCGAAAAGAGAACTATTCTATCAGAGCTGGGGCATGGTTCCATTACAAAGTATGTGAACAGAGGCACCCGCCAAGGGGGCGTTCTCTCCCCTCTACTCTGGAATCTAACAGTGAACACCCTACTTCTAAGCCCAAGTCATAGCGTACGCAATCGTGTCAATGGGCAAACATCTTCAGGTCCTGAGTGAGTTATTCCAAAATGCTCTCGGTCTGGTAAACATCTAGTCCAAGGAATGTAGACTTCGCGTCAATCCTACCAAGACAGAAATGGTACTTTTCACAAGGAAGTATAAAACTCCCTTATTTAAACCTCCCACCATAAACGGGCTGGCACTTACCCTCTCAACCGAGGTCAAACACCTTGGAATTATTCTATACAAGAAACTTGACTGGAAGCGAAACATTGGAGATCGCTCCAGAAAGGCCAATACCGCCCTTTATGCCTGTAAGACGGCTATAGGCAAAATGCGGAATAAAACCACAACCCATCCTTTTCTACGGGATCACCGTATGGTGACCTGCGCTAAACAACATTTTGTCCAGAGGCAAGGTGGAACGGGTGCAGAGGACGGCTGCCATGCTAGCCACGGGACCACTGCCAACTACACCCACCAAATCTCTGGAAATAATGTTAAATCTTCCACCTGTGGATCTCTACGGAAAATTTAGGTCCGGCTGCAGTGCGGCCAGGTTAAATACAATCCAGCCGTGGAGAGACCTCAGATTCGGACACGCAAAAGTACTTCAAACTCTAACGGATAATCTACGACAGATAAATTATACCACTCCTCTACTCTGTTTAGACAACAAATTCTCCACAAGAATCCCAGAGAGAAACGAATGGAAAGGGGCCACAGACCTGAACCCAGGGTCTACGGCCATATATACAGAAGGTTCCAAGCTTAACAAAAGAGTGGGGAGCGAGATCTACTCTGACGAACTCGCGCTAAACCTCAGTTTTCGCTTACCGGGCCATTGTAGTGTTTTTCAAGTAGAATTAAACGCCATAATGGAGGCGGCTCGGTGGCTCATAACATCCGCCCCTCCAGGAAGGCCTATTGCTATCTATTCTGACAGCCAGGCTGCTATCAAATTTCTCAATTCTAACGGAACAACGGCCAAAGTAGCCATAGAATGTAGGAAGATTCTCAACCTGCTGGCATTAAAATGCTCCTTGACTGTTGTATGGGTCCCTGGACATAGGGACATTCCTGGCAACTGCCTAGCCGACGAGCTGGCAAGGAGGGGGACGGAAATATCTAAAGTCAATTCTGCTCAGAATGCAGGCATATCTCTAACCTCCTGCAAACACAGACTAAAGGCGGAACTCGTCGAGGAGGTAAATATCGGTAGGCTGTGGAAACCACCTGCCATACTACCAGGACAATGTGGCCAAAGATTGATGTAAAGCAATCCATAGCTCTTACCCGTCTAGACGCTCCTCTTTCAGATTAGTAGTCGGGGTAATCGCCGGACACTGCCTAATGGGCACACACGGAAAAAGGCTAGGATACCCCACCAACGATTTTTGTCGCAGTTGCAGCGACGAGGAAGAGGTGGAGACCGTTGAACACTATCTCTGCCATTGTCGCGCCTTGGCCAACACGCGCAACCGATTCTGCAACAAGTACTTTTTAGAATGTCCTCGACTTTTTGTGCTATATAAAACGCACTCGGTGGTTCAATTATTAAGGAAGGGAAAGAAACAAATGGTTTCAGCCAGTGGTATCACAACGGGCTTTTTCAGCCCACGTGTGCTCCGCGTTCTGCGTGGATCCCTTTAGCCCAGAAACTTTTCATAAAGACAAATTTCTGGTTTTTATGTGTCATATTTTTTTCCTTGTAACTGGATTTCTTTTCTTTCCGCTCCTCTCACGTTTGAGAAAAATTTGCAAATTCAATATTTCTTCATTTGAAAATAAAGAAAAAATCCATATTAAAAATGTGGCTTTTAGTTTGGGAATGCTATTAACAGTTATTTGGAATGCATTTGAGAAGTAACATTTGAGATTTGAGAAAAGGACTTATTCTCAAAATGCATCTTAAATTGCGATTTAACAAAAATGTTTATTGGGTTGCATTGGGTTTTGTATATTCATTTACACATATCGTAGCTACGCTGCAAGAGTGTTATAATCCATTTATTCGAAAAAGTAGAAAAATAGCTTTAAATTTACACTTTACATATTATGTACGCTCCCATAGTAAAAATGAAGACACATATTCTTCCAGTGAGCTATTGTTAATGAAATGTTTACACAAACTTTTGTAACTCAATTTTTTTTTTTTTTTTTTTTTGATCATGATACTCTTACAGCAAGTGTACGATATTTATGTATAGCAGATTTCAGTGACCCCTTAGACCGAATCTGTCTGGTTCGCTCTACTAAAGTTTCTCTCTCTTTCATGTTCTGCGCGGACGCAAGAGTTTGAATGGAGTCTAGTCGAGCAATTGTAATGGTACTCGATTAGCATGTTTTCGATCTTACACAGTTTTTAGTTCGAAGTTTCAAAACATATAAACCAAAAAATTTAAATTTTTCATCTGGTAACACTGATATAGGTAATATATAAAAGTGTGTAAACAAATTTATGCAAAATATGGGTTAAAAGCGTTTTAAAAGATGTATAGGGTATAATAAGAGCCAATAATATATTTTCGATTAGTTTAGTAACATTTTGGTGCTGTTACAAATTGCCAAAAAAGTTATTAACCGCTATTTGACGTTAAGACATTAAGACGCTTAACACATCTTATGAATCCCGTATATATATACAACCACCTGTATCAAATCTAAAACAGGGAAAGTCCTTTAAGTATGCATGTTTGTATTTTTTTTTTTCTTTTCACACGGTTTTTCATATACAATTTTCATTTTCGCTTTACACTGATCTCTCAGGAACCTATCAACCGTGTAAAGCGCGGGATAGGTATATACCTCGAAGTAAAAACCCCTAAATTTATTCCATAGTGTATCTAATCTTCTATATAGAAGTTTATCTATTAATTTTTATGAAGTTGACCCAACAAAAACAAACCAAAGCGATCGCAACTTTTTCTTATTAACGTCTATTTTTATTGCTTTTTTTTTTTTTTTTTAGATGCAATCGACTTGGCTAATACTTCTATGGCGTCGTAAGCTCAGTGCTCTGCTAATCGGCTCTAGTTTAGTGCTGTTCGTACTTTGGACCTGGGTTTTCTTTATTTCGAGCAGCAGCGACATACCGACTGATGGTCAATTTAATGTAAGATTATTATTTTAATACTTTAAAATAGAAATAAATTTAATTCCAATTCATCCATCATCTAGGACCTAATACAAACTGACAATCCACAAAAGCACGTATATCTTCTGCAAAAGCTTATCTCGCAGGCAAATCGCGTATTACGCCACCAACAACAACAACAGCACAACAGCGCGACAAGTGTTGAACGCAATTTGCTACGCTCACGCGGCCCCACTGGCGGCATACCAGTGCCTGCAGCAGCTCATAGTGGCAAAAACTCCGGCATTGTGCGCTTTGTAAAGCCTACGAAGAGTCCACCATCTGTTGCCATTCCTGAAGCATCCGAGCAGACACTCTCGTTAGTCGCGCGACGAAAGAAAATACCCGTGGTGGGTGGAAACTATCTGTTTGAAGAGGAACGCCTAAAGATACTTGAGAATCAACAACGCGTGCGCAACGCTGGCATGGAAGACTTCCAAAGCAATATGGACTATGATAGAGTATTAACATCAGCCGAGCGGCAGGCACAGTATGAACATGAACTGCAGCGCTTTGGTGTGCCAGCTATTGCAGGCATTGGGCCGGATGGACCACGTGCACCTAACGAACGGCTGGTGCACTTAGACCTGAAGGGGGCGCCACCAAAGGTTCGTTTAGAATAATCGATGTGAAGAAAAAAAAAGTACTACAAATGTTATTTTTTCCTTTATTGATTTATTTATTTGCTTCAGCTCTCATTTTTGAAACGTCTCTTGCCGATGTTGAAAAGGCTGGGTGCTACTGGGTTGTTAATTGAATACGAGGATATGTTTCCCTATGCAGGCGTATTGCAAGAACTCTCCGCTAGAAATGCTTACAAAGCTGAAGAATTGAAGGTACCTATAATTCATATGTATGTACTTATCTCGTCACCTAAGGGTGAAAAGGCGTCAAGTCCATTTTTTTAAATCGTTCAGGAGAGATGAAAAATTGATGTAGTTTCGTATAACCTGCCATTCTGCTTCAAAAACTGAATTTTGAAAAAAAAAAAATCGACTTGGCACCTTTTCACCTTTAAGTAGCGATACGTATGTATATTTCGTTTGCTGGAAAAACGTCTTGTAAGAATGTATAACGATGTTGTGTAAAAATGTGCAACGATATCTGTCGATTTTGTGTTATTAGAAATGTATATGCCTTTTTAGCAACTCTACACAATTCTAATTTCTTTTGGCATTTATAACTAGAAAAAGAAAACAAACAGAAAACAAACACTTTGTTGCCCGGTTATGCAAGACTTAGACTTGACTTGACTTAAAGCTGGGTTATGTAAGACTTAGACTTGACTTATCTAGAAACTTAGACGCGATTACTCAGCGTGGCACCTATTACTTTTTATACCCGAGCGCACTTGTGCACAAGGGTATATTAATTTTGATCACATAACGGTTGTTTGTAACAGCAAAAACGAATCGAGATAGATATAGACAAATGTATACATAAATGCTCAGAATGAATAGAGAAGTCGATTAAGCCATGTCTGTCTGTCCGTCCGTCTGTCCGTCTGTCCGTGTACACGATAACTCGAGCAAAAATTAAGATATCTCAACGAAATTTGGTATGTAGGTTTCCATTTATCCAAGGTAGGTTGGTATTGAAAATGGGCGAAATCGGACTGTAACCATGCCCACTTCCCATATAACGGTCATTTCCAGAAATACGAAAACTGCGATATTTTAGTAACTACTGAAGACAATAAACACACAAAATTGATATTTACAATAATTTTCAGACGAAAAATAAGAATATTATAAATTTTTGCAAAATGGTATCTTGGTAACCGCTGCACCAATTTCTTCCAAACTTGGCACAGTTATTGGTCTTAGTATAACATACGAAATGGCCGAAAATTTTTAAAATCGGACAATAACCACGCCCACATTCCATATAACGGTAATTTAGAGAAATACGAAATCTTCGTTAAATATGAAAGCCAATTCATTCAAAATTGATGCTTGCAACAATTCTTTACCAAGAAATACGTCTATGATAAAAGTTTGGAAAATGGGCGAGGCACCGCCCACTTATGATCACATCCATATATGTATCTCGGTAACCGTTCTACCAATTTATACCAAACTCGGTATGGTTATTGTGCTTGCCACATAAAAGAAAAACGTTGCAAATTATTGAAATCGGACTAAAATTAGGGCCGCTTTTCATATAACGGTAAATTTCAGAAATGCTTGAAACTGCAATATTTCGAAATTTAAGGACGCTAATTTACTCAAAATTGATACACCCCGGCTTACCATCTAGCGGTAGGTTTCGGAAAGGTGAAAAAACATATATTTAATACTTGCGCCGGGTATTTAATGTTTGGCTCCGCCCGAACTTAGACTTTCTTACTTGTTATCTTTATTCGTATTCTCAGCACTTTTATTTGTACAAGTAAACTTGTAAACGTTTAATTTGTTTTTACACCAAAATTGATACAAAATTATAATGGTAAAATAATTGTAAATGCGCGCAACAAATTATGATTGATTTTATTAAAGTTTTAGATATCTTAAAGAAAATTTGGTACGTTTCTTTTAATCTAAGGACGGATGCTATGGAAGATGGGCAAACCACGCCCACCACATGAGAGAAATTCATAAGCTGCTATATTTTAGTAATTACTGAAGCTTATTCACTTAAAATTTAAATTTTGCAATGATATCTTAAAAATGAGAATATTACAAATTTTTGGAAAATGGGCGTAGCCCCCGCACCAATCAGTAACTACTGAAGCTAATTAACTCCAAATTCCTTAGCAAGAAATATGCTTTTAACAAATTTTTGGAAAATGGGCGTGACACCACCCACATATGACGACACAAAAAAGCAAGATTATGAAAATGTTTGAAACGCCACTAAAATTATGCACCCTTTCCAAATAACGGTCAATTTCCGGAATACGAAAGCTTCAATATTTCGAAACCTAAAGAAGCTATTCTATTTAAAGTTTATACTCACAACAATCTCTTAAAAATTTGTAAGATTATTATGGATGTTTGGAAACGGTTATCGATTCCGCTTTATCGATTTCTACCAAACACGGTTAAATTATTTCATTAAGCCAAAAATGTTTGAAAAAGTGGTGAAACCAGACACCAGACTAAAAAGTAGAAAATAAATAAAATAAAATAAAACTTGTACTCTCCACGAACAAACTTTAGCAAACCATAGTAGAAAGCGTAGCAAATTTCTTCAGAACTTCGTACTGCTTAAGAAAAGCGCTTAAGCGCTTAAAATGGATTTTTTCTTGCTTACTTTCTTCGGCCCTGTTTATAACACATAATATTCTCCCAGCAAACGAGCGATAAATACATACATAAATGTGTACATGCATTTCAGTCAGACACATTCTTAAACTAACATATTTTTCCATTTGACAGGATTTCCTTGAAACCGCAGCCATGCATGGCCTCTCCATCATGCCTTTGATTCAAACGTTCGGCCACATCGAATTTGCTTTAAAACTACCAAGATTCGAACATATGCGTGAAATATCCGAAAGTCCACAGTCTATATGCCCCAGCCAGCAGGATTCAATTGCATTTATTCAGAACATGCTGACCCAAGTTATAGAATTCCATCTTAGCTTAAATGGCGCAGCCACAAATAGTAACAGTTCATCAACAGTGGCGCAGGCCACTTTTTTGCCATCGGACCATTCCAACAAATTCACACACATTCACATTGGTTGTGACGAAGTGGCGCGCATGGGCGAGTGCAACCTATGTCGACAGCATGCTCGCAACGAAATTTTCCTCAGCCACGTAACGACTATTGCCAATTTTGTGAGAACGCACTGGCCTCAACTACAGGTGGTCATTTGGGATGACATGCTGCGCGGCATGATGCTAAGCGAAATGCATCATTCACACATCGGCAACTACGTAGAGCCTATGGTGTGGGTGTATGCCAACGATATATACAGATTCATACAACCGCAGCTGTGGGACATGTACTCCAAAGTCTTCCCAACCGTTTGGGCAGCATCTGCTTTTAAAGGTGCGTTTGGTGAGAGCCTTATGATACCACCACTGCAGCGCCATTTAGAGAATAATATCAGATGGCTAGCAGTCGTTGCGAAAGAGGGCGGACGGTAGGTAGCTCAGTATTGGTTGGCTTCATTAATATAAGAATAACAAAAGTTTTGGCTTCAAATACATATCTACATACATATGTAGGTTTTCGAAAGGCATACGCGGTTTGACATTAACCGGTTGGCAACGGTATGATCATTTTGCGGTGTTATGTGAATTGCTTCCGGTGGGCATACCTAGTTTGATTACCTCACTATCTACGGTGTCAAAAGGTCATTTCATTACCAATCCGAAGGAGAACGACATTTTGCGCATACTCGAGTGTGCCTTCCATCCAGATAGTCGGTAAGCTGGATTCAACGTAAAGTTGCTTTATTTTTCTTTTTAATCCACATGTAACTTTTAGACGCTCCGGACATCCCTGGATAGAGCTACACCCGAACTCACATCATAGTCAGTTATTTTCCTCCTGCACATATCCCGGAAGCATGGTATACAAGTATGCGTTGCGACTCTTTGATAAGCTAGTAGAGGTACAGAATTACTTGCTACATGTGAAGGAACAAAGTGCCTGGATGTCGGACTACAATGTGCGTCACAATTTTTCCTCGCCACTCCGTGTACGGGAGCTCACGATTAATACGCCGAACTACCTTAATGAACTAAGTGGCATGGCCAGAGAAGCCCACGAAGTGATGTACGAGGTGTTTGACGATGTAAGAGAATTGATTGTGGTGCACCAAAAAGAGTTGAGTAAAAGTTTTCTTTATTTTCAGTATACCATCGTTGAATTTGTCGAGCAAAATATTTATCCGACGATTGCGAAACTGCAACGGCAATTGGAACACGCCCAAAGTTTAATGCAACGACGTGTATGGCCGCAGCGTCCTCTTCCTTACGGTGCGGAATTGGTTGAGCTTAATTTGGTTCCCCTTCAATTGTTAAATGCGGCCGGAACTGGCGCTGAAGCTGGGAGCAATGGTGATATGACATAAATTTAAGTTGTAGTTTTAAGCCCAATGGGATCAAATGACGTTAACAATTGAAATAATATTCAAATGCTTTAAGCAAAGAGATTATTAAAAAAAAGAGCACCGTTAATTAGGCGAGAAACACAATTTGTCTTGTCATTTACACTATGTAACATACATACATACATTTGTGTATGCATGTACATACAAGTATGTTAACATTAAATTAAACTTAATATTAAATTTAATGATCACTGAACAAATACTGTTAACATTTTCTATAATGCTTTGTAATTATAATAAACAACAATCTATATCTAATTACATATGTACATATGTACAAACATGAATACTTTACATTAAAATAAAGACGTGATCACATCAATTTGTATGCAGTTTTTGTTATTTTTTTTTTTATGAATAACCCGAAAAACACAGTTTTTCCGCTGGCGCACAGTGGTCGGATAGGCAATGTTTTACGCGAAAAAGGCATATTTTAAAACTGTGATAAATTAAACGGTATAGAACCATTTTAATCAGAAATGTTCAGCGAACTCAAAACTGATTCGAATTTTTAATAATATCTGCTTAGCAATCCGTTGAATCCGTTTAATTCAAAAAATTCGGTCGTTGCATGTTCTAACAGTTACGAGTTGATAACTTTCTTAAAAAATTTTCGTATGGAAACTTCAAATTATAATAGTAATTGGTGGTTTGGTGTTACTTCTTAAACATGGAAAATTATGATTTCATATGAACAATTACATAATGCAAATTTGTTGCCAAATTATGAATACCTTACTAACACGGATTATTTTTCAAGAAATATTTTTTTTCAAAAAGGTATAACTAATTAGTAGGGCCGAGCAGGATCTTCATTCCTTTACGAAAAAGTAGTCCTTTAAGGATCTATTAAAAGAAAAGCCACGCATACTCGCGCCAATCAGAGTGGAAAGAGTGGCGGCCATTTTTAATTCACTAGACCAACTTTAGCGGATGTTCCAAATAACATAAAGTGTATTAAAATATTAAGGATGAATGCAATTTATTCTATATTTAGCATTATATCATTTATGTGTCTTAGCAAAGCTGAAGTCAATTTTCAAAGATCCCATAACGAATTTAATATGGCGTCGAAGAATTTAAAAAATTTATGAATTTTCATGAAATTTGGTATTTAGAGGTTCTTAAGTTCGCTCATTACAAATTTCAAATTACTTCGATTCATTTTTATTTAATTTCATAGTGCATATATTTGTATTACTTTTATATTAGCCTAGGTCCCCGTTTTAGTATTATTCTTCGTGTTCGTTCTCGTTTTCGGATTTGTTTATAAGTTAGCTAAGACTTCTGGAAAAGCTGGCAATACTCCTAAATATAGTTGAGAAATAAACAAATCTCTTGTGTCTGATATTTTGGTAATTACATATTTCATTTGCCTGATTAATTAAGTTAAAATTGGTTTTTAAATACGTGAGAACGCTCCTAATATAGTTCAAAAATAAAGCCTTTGCTTAGAAGATATCAACCAATACTTCCCATATACCAAACTAAAGGAAAATACCTGAACTTTTGAGTAAAGAAAACAAAAAAAAATAATAATTCGAGCGGTTTTCTTACAGAAATGAATCTGTCCATAGGTTTGGAATTTTGTCTTTCAAACGCCACACTTTTCTTTGAAATCGCTTCACTAATAACGTCGACTCTAAATTTAGGAGCAGCTTTTTTGGCAGATATTACATTGATAATTATGACAAAAAGCTGCAACTAACTTTAGTT